CACTCCCTGCCTCTCAGTCCCGTGACACCACACCCAACCACCAGACATATGTCCCCCTGCACTCCCTGCCTCTCAGCCCCGTGACACCACCACCCAACCACCAGGCGTATGCCCCCCTGCACTCCCTGCCTCTCAGCCCTGCGACACCACACCCAACCACCAGGCGTATGTCCCCCTGCACTCCCTGCCTCTCAGCCCCGCGACACCACACCCAACCACCAGGCGTATGTCCCCCTGCACTCCCTGCCTCTCAGCCCCGCGACACCACCACCCAACCACCAGGCGCATGAGCCCCCAGCATGGGCAGCTTCCAGGACCCCTCCCTCTCCAGAACCCACCCGGCCACCGTCCCGCTCAGGGGTCCCGCCATGGTCGCTGGGCCTCCACAGTCCGCTCCCGTCATTCACTCAGCCGGGCTTTTCCACGTGCCCCGCGGGCCAGGCCTGGGAACCTGGACGTGCATCAGCGGACACCCCCAGGGCTCAGTGCAGGGAGGTGCCTCCCAGAGCCTCTCCCACCGGGAGCAGCCCCCCCCCCCCCCCCCATTGCATCCTGTCCTGGACGCTCTCCTGGGCCCAACCTCTCTAGCAACATGTCCCTGGAGCAGCCTGTGAGCCCCGTGTGGGCGGGGCCGAGCTGATTCCCCTCTGGCCGGGCTGCCGGCACTGCCACTGCGTGGGTACAGTGACAGAAGCAGGGGGCAGACCCAGGTCCCGACCCTCAGCAGCAGGGAGACCGCCTCCCTCCCTCCCTCCCTCCACCGACACACGGCTCCCAGGGGAATGTCTCATTTCTGGAAAACAAAGAATTCCTGGCCAGCGTGGCTCAGTGGTTGAGTGTCGACCCCTGAACCAGGAGGTCACAGTTCAATTCCCAGTCGGGGCACATGCCCGGGTTGATCCCCAGTGTGGGCGTGCAGGAGGCAGCCAATCCATGACTCTCTCTCATCATTGATGTCTCTCTCTCTCTCCCCCTCTCCCTGCCTCTCTCTGGAAAAACAAAACAAAACGAGTTTATTCTGCTCTCCTCTCTGCCTCATCACACCCAGTTTAACAGGAGGCTTCTGAACGTTTTCCCAAAGCCGTTGTCTGTATCACGGCAGGTGCACCAGACAGAAGCGGGAGCTTTGTCGGGGATGCGGAGAGGGCGGAAAATGACGGGGACCGTTTCTAAGGCGTCCCTGTGTGTTACCCAGCACGCGAGGGCCAGTGTCCCCGGGCTGTCTGTGTCTGACTTCTGGGCGAGTTGCTGGGAGGCCAGGGCTGACGTCATCACAGTGGCTGAAAGACCACCTCTGGGTCCCCTGCCGTGTTGAGGATAATAGCCGACAGCTCCGTCCTGCTGGGCCTGGACCCACCATCCACTGTAAACAACGAGAAAACTGGACAAGAGACACAAAACACCTGTTTGCAGATGTCGGGGCCCCGGCGGCTGAGGACTGAGAGAAGGAGGGCAAAGGAATGGAGCCCTGTGACCGGCCTGGCCTGCTGCCCGGTCCCAGGAGGGGCCACTGGGCAGGGCATTCTCGCTGAGCTGGGAGAAGGTGCCCTGAGAGACCAAGCAGCATGCAGAGGGGAGAGAGCTGCGCTGGACAAGAGCTCCGGGAGCTGTGGAGGGGCCGTCGAGTCCTCATGGACGCGGAGGGCATTTCACAGGGGGACGCAGAGAATGACCAGGTTGCTGTAAGGGAAGCAGTTCCCAGGCCTGGGAGGCCGTAGGTCCTGGCCAGGCGGACAGTCCTTGCTGAATACCCAGGCACGCAGCAGGGACACCAAAAGGGCCATCCATGCCTACCGGTGGGACAGAGCGACAAAGTGCAGGAAAAAAAACCTCAGAAAGGTCAGGCTGATGCGCAAACCAGGTGACCGCCGCCAAAGCAAAGTCCAACGCTCCCCGGAGGAAGGAGAGGAAGTCCTGCCTCAGCCACGTGAAATTGACAATGTTTGACTTCCCATCAAATGCCACCGTTCATAAGAAGAAACCAAAGCACCAAGAAGCCGGAGAGAGACCAGCCGTGACCGCGGCCCAGGAAGGAGAGCAACGGCGAACGGAGCGCACAGGCAGGGACTCTGAGACGCCTCCTGTCGTGTGTCGGCGGGTAAAGGAGAGCGTCCGCATAAGGAAGAGTCGCCGGAGATGCTGAAATAAACCCCGTGGAGCTTCTAGAAGTGAAATTACAGTTTCTGAAAGGAGAGAGGCCCTGGAAGGAAGGAATGAGCAGGAGGTTTTGCTGAGGAAAAGATTGGTGAACTTGACATAACTATAGAAACTATTGCTCTAAAGCAAAGAGACAAAAAAAGACTGAAAATGTGAAGAGAGACCGGGTGGTCTGTGGATATAGATCTATCGGTCTGTCCCTCTCTCTAGGTTGGGAGGGGGAGACCCAGGGGATGAGAGAAGACTGAAAAAATTTGAAGAAATGAAGGTTGGAAAATGTCCAAATTTGATGAAAACTATAAACTCATGGTTCCAAGAATCTCATTGAACCCCACGCAGAATAAACACAACAAAAACCTGCCAACTCTAACACAATCAAACTTCTGAGAAACAGTAATAAGAAGAAAATCTTAGAAGCAGCAAGAAAAAAAAACCCACCACATTATGTACAGTGGCATCTATATATATAAAAGGCTAATATGCAAAGTGTCCCCACGGGAGTTCGACCGGGAGACCAGGAGTTCTGTCACTTGCTATGACGTGTGCTTACCACCAGGGGGCAGCATGGAACAAAGGAAGGCCCCAGCCGGCAGTGGGCAGCCAGGAAGGGAGGCCCCAGCCGGCAGCAGGAAGGCCCTGATCGGCCCTGGTTGCCAGCCAGGCCGAGGGACCCTATCCGTGCCCAAATTTCATGCACCAGGCCTCTAGTAAAAGAATGACTGCGGACTTCTCATCTGAAACTATGTGCATCAGAAGACACTAGAACAGCATCTTTAAAGAGCTGAAAAAAATCTATCAAAAGAAAAAAAAAACTTAAAAAATGAAGGCGAGACCGGTTAAGGGTATGGCGTTCTTTTGGGGGGGGTGATAAAAAATGTCCTCAAATTGATTGTGGGGATGGTCGCACAGCGTTGAATACTCTAACAGCCTTTGAATGGGATGTGACTGTTAAGAGTGTACACGAATAAAAGTGTCAGCAAAGCAGTCAGTCAAAAAATGAAGACTTTCGTAGACACACAAAAGCTAGGAGAATTTGTTGCCAGAATCCCACACCTGCAACAAAGTTAAAGGAAAATTTTCAAGCTGAAGAAAAATGTCAAAAGACACGGAGAAGAGGCAAAAGCAAGCCACCGGCTGGTAGATAACGTATATGTCATGAAGCACTGGTGTCCAAAATACATAAAGAACTTCTGCAAGTCAACATTAGAAAACAAAAAAAGAAAACCCTATTAAAAAGTGGGCAGACGGGTTTAACCTGTACTCCACAAAAAGTGTATGTGAGTGGCCCCTGGACACCTGGGACAAGCTGAGCATCGTCCGTCGCCAGGGGAGGCAACTGGGAATGATGAAATACCGTCACGGAGCCACCAGAATGGCTGAAGCAGATGGAGAGTGTGGCGCGTCGGTGAGGGTGTGAAGCAGAGGGAACTCTCAGACACTCCTGGTGGGAACGCAGAGGGGTGCAGCCTCCGTGGAGAGCAGTCTGCCGCAGACACAGTTAGCGTGTGACCCCGCACTTCCTCTCCGCGGGGTTCGCCGGCACTCTGCCTGCTGGTGCGGATGGGACACGGAGGCTCAGGTGTCAGGGACTGGCCCGAGGTCACACAGCAGGGACGCGGCAGCCCTGGGTGGAGGGGCCTGGCGTCCTCGGCCTGTGAGGTCCCAGGGGGAGGTGATGGTGTGTGTCTGGGGTCCTGGCTGGTCATTCCTTCTCTTGTTTCAGGTTGCCCTTCCCGCCCGGGGACCGAGTGACCTTCAACGGGAAGGAATGCATGTGCCAGAAGTGTTCCCTGCCCAAGTCCGCGGGTGGCAGCACGCACCTGTCCCAGGGCCTCTGGAGTGAGTGGGCGCTGGGTGACGTGGGGCAGGGGGCGGGGAGGGGGGCGGCTGGCGCTGACCAGAGGTGGGGGATCATCAGGAAGGGAACCGGGATAGAAATCTCTGGTACGTTCGTGCCGCCAAACCTTTGCACAGGCTGTGCCCGCTGACCTGTGTGCCACTCCTGCTTTTCACCCACCTCCCTTCCTGCGTTTGGCCCAGCTCTGGCCTACCTCCTCCAGGAAGCCCTCCTGGCCTACTTCTCGTTCTCTGCCTCTAGCTCACTCAGCTCCCCACCGTTAATTCCAGGCCATCTAGAAGCCCCTTGGGAGAGCCCTTAAAAGAGCATTGAACTCTGGGCTCCTGTGGTCAGGGCTGCACATCGCAGGAGCCTGGCCAGGGTGTGTATGTAGTAGGTGCTCAATATGTGCTTCTCACATGCAGAAGCTGGAGGTTGTTCCTATAAAAGCAGGAACGCCAGCTGGCCTGTGAGAGCGGGGCAGGCGCAGGCAGGTGCTGGCCTCTTCCAGCGCGGGTGACTCTTCGGGACCCAGAGGGATGTGGGGACTGGGCTGGGGCCCCGCGTTCCGGGCCCTGCTGCTGCCAGGATCCCACTGCAGAGGTGGCATGTTTGGAGCCCACCCTGCGTGTGAGGTCGCTGTGGTGTCCCAGCACCAGGGCCACATGGCCTGGGACAGAGCGGGGTTCCTACTGATTTCTGGAGCCAGGCCCTTGCCCCCGTGGTTCCCATTCATTCACACGTGCACACATTCATTCCACTTGGTCCCCCAGCCTGGGCAGCGAGTGGAGGAAAGCCCCTTCCCTCAGGCGCTGGATCTTGGAGCTCGAGTCTGTCTTAAAGTCGTTTCCCAAAGTTGCATGTGGTTTGAGTGGCGTGGTGATGTGGGAGAGCCAGAGCTTGCCAGCAGCCCTGGGACTGTCCTGGCTCTGGCTGGAGGGTGCACCTACTGCCCAGGCCCAGGTGCTCCACCGCTGGCAGGCAGGCCTCTGTCTCCCCAGCTCCCGGCCCAGTGCTTGCAGTCAGCACTCAGCCACAGCCCAGTGCATGCAATCAACACCCAGCCACGGCCCAGTGCATGCAGTCAGCGCCCAGCCACGGTCCAGTGCATGCAATCAGCACCTAGCCATGGCCCAGTGCATGCAGTCAGCACTCAGCCACGGCCCAGTGCATGCAGTCAGCGCTCAGCCACGGCCCAGTGCATGCAGTCAGCATGTGCAGCACGGCCCAGTGCATGCAGTCAGCCATGTGCAGCCACAGCCCAGTGCATGCAGTCAGCCATGTGCAGCCACAGCCCAGTGCATGCAGTCAGCATGTGCAGCCACAGCCCAGTGCATGCAGTCAGCCATGTGCAGCCACAGCCCAGTGCATGCAGTCAGCATGTGCAGCACGGCCCAGTGCATGCAGTCAGCTCAGCCACAGCCCAGTGCATGCAGTCAGCATGTGCAGCACGGCCCAGTGCATGCAGTCAGCTCAGCCACAGCCCAGTGCATGCAGTCAGCATGTGCAACACGGCCCAGTGCATGCAGTCAGCCATGAGCAGCCACAGCCCAGTGCATGCAGTCAGCATGTGCAGCACGGCCCAGTGCATGCAGTCAGCTCCGCCACGTGGGAACAAGCTTTGTGATTTGTTTTCTACGTGTTTGCCCCCCTGCCCTGTAGCAGGGTCCCCTAAGCACAGCAGCCGGACTATCCCCTCTCTCTGCTCCCTGGGGCACTCTAACTGCTGTAGGGGTGTCCCGAGACCCAGCGGTGAGGCTCCCCCTCCTCTGGGCCCCAGCGATGACATCTGTGTTCTCCTCTTCCTCCCAGGTTGTGGGGGCTGCGGCACAGAAATCCAAAGCGGCCAGTCCCTGGTGGCTCTGGACAAGCACTGGCACCTGGGCTGCTTTAGGTGCAAGGCCTGCGGGAAGGAGCTGAGCGCCGAGTACATCAGCAAGTGAGCAGCGCGGGCGTCGGAACGGAGCCCCGGGGTCGGCCTCCGCCTGTCCCCTGCCTTCCACCGCGCTCATCCCTCCCGTCTCCACGGTTAGACAGGAACCCTGGCTGGGACTGGCGTGTCTGTCCCCACACGCTCAGCCTGGCTTCCCTAGCGGGGTCTGCAGACCCCACCGCCATTCGTTTTGCTGATGGAGCAGATGCCGTGCTCCCATCTTTGACTGTCACACGCCTCCCCGCGCCCATCCCTGGGTCGCCCTCCCCGGGAATTCGCCCCTCGCCGGCACCGGCTCTCCTGCACAATGCAAAGTGCTGTCAGCCGCCACCAGCCCCGCGTGAGGGGCCAGGGCTGAGCAGTCTGGGTTGTCACAACGTGACAGTGCTGAGACCTCTCCAGCACCGGCCGCACAGGGCAGCTCCGCCGCGGGCCACACAGCGCTCCCCGCCTGCGCTCAGGAGGCCGATGGCTGGTTTGCAGGGAGGGAGCTGCTGGGAGACCTTGGCCCTGCAGGGGCACCTGGTTTGCCGAGGGCGTGCATTTAATCCAGAGCTCTGGACAGAGACAGGCGAGTCCCTGGCACAGGAGGGAGTGAGGGTGCAGCGCGCGGTCTCGAGCTCAGAGCGCGCAGCCAGGGGCTCTCTGCGCAGCTCTTCTGGAGCCTCCGCTAGTGCTGATGCCCCGAGGAATAGGCAGTGATGGCGAACCTTTGACACGTGTGTCAGAGGTGACACGCGAACTCATTTTTTTGGTTGATTTTTCTTTGTTAAATGGCATTTAAATATATAAAATAAATATCAAAAATATAAATCTTTGTTTTACTATGGTTGCAAATATCAAAACATTTCTCTATGTGACACGGCACCAGAGTTAAGTTAGGGTTTTTCAAAATGCTGACACGCTGAGCTCAAAAGGTTCGCCATCACTGGGATAGAGCATCACAGGAACTGATCGTGTTAAAAGAAGTCCTGTGATAAAACGGCACGGGATGCAACACACACATGCATGCTGGCACGTGCACACACATGCACATGCTGGCGCACACACATATACTGGCACATGCACACACATGCACGTGCTGGCACACACATATACTGGCACATGCACGCACATGCACACGCACGCACGTGCTGGCACACACATCTACTGGCACATGCACACACACACATGCTGGCACATGCACACACACATGCTGGCACACACACTGGCACATGTACACACATGCACACATGCTGGCACATGCACTGGCACATGCACACACATTTACACATGCTGACACATGCACGCACGCACATGCACATGTGCTGACACATGCACACACATGCTGGCACACATACACTGGCACATGTGCACACATGCTGGCATATGCACACACATGCTGGCACACACACACTGGCTCATGCGCACACATGCTGGCACATGCACACACATGCTGGCACACATACACTGGCACATGCACACACATGCGCACATGCTGGCACATGCACGTACACACATGCACTGGCACATGCACAGGAGGTGGACCCACGTCACTTCCCTGGTGGCCTTATCCTCTGATTCTGCAGGAGGTCTTGCTGGTCTGTGTTTTCTTTCTTTCACCTGCATGTGCCTCTACACTTACCTCAGGATAAACCGTTGTCAGGAGAAGCCCCCTGTGCGGGCCGGGCTCCTGTCGAGGTGAAGGGAGGGGTGGCTCAGGCGGCCTGGCGGACAGAGTGTGAGGATGAAACGAGCCGCCCGCCCCCAGACCGCAGCGGCACGTGGCAGCGGCCCACACTGCGCTGTGACTCAGCAGCCTCCAGACTGTCCCAGAACTGAGGAGGAGGGCGCCTTAGTGTTGCCATGGAGACGTCATCTTTGAACCTCTGGGGTTTGCTGCACATCCACCGGTTCATGGGAAATCGCAGGGCCCTGAGGTCGGCAGCATTTGAAAGTGGCTCCTCGGACCCCATTTCTACCTCCCTGTCCTGTGAGCCAAGGCTTCACCCTCGGGGAGGCTGTGCAGGCAGAGGTGCCCCTGCAGCCCCGGGCCTGTCCCCCCAGCAGGCCCCTCCCCTCCCGCAGGCACCCCGTGACTAGGGGAGGTTGATCATCATAGTAACTGCAGTCACTTTTAAATGAGCTCCCAGCCGGCCGGCGTGGCTCAGTGGTTGAGTGTTGATCTATGAACCAGGAGGTCATGGTTTGATTCCTGGTCAGGGCACACGCCTGGATTGCAGGCTCGATCCCCAATGTGGGGCGTGCAGGAGGCAGCCTGTCGATGATTCTCTCTCATTGTTGATGTTTCTCTCTCGCTCTCCCTCTTTTCCTCTCTGAAATTAAAAAAAAAAAAGAGCCCCTGGTTGGGCAGATGCTGGACCCAGCGTGGTGCCTGCGTGATCTCCCGTCCATGAGCTGCATTTGGGTCCCTTTTTTTTCTTTTTTCTTTTTTTAAAATATATTTTATTGACATTTTACAGAGAGGAAGGGAGAGGGATAGAGAGTTAGAAACATCGATGAGAGAGAAACATCGATCAGCTGCCTCCTGCACATCTCCCACTGGGGATGTGCCCGCAACCCAGGTACATGCCCTTGACTGGAATCGAACCTGGGACCCTTCAGTCCGCAGGCCGACGCTCTATCCACTGAGCCAAACCGGTTAGGGCATCGGGTCCTTTTTCTTACGGCTCCCTCAGTGGGGGCTCCGTGTTTATGCAACCTGCCCCAGGCTGCCCACATACCCAGGAGCAGTGCCCCAAATGGTGTCATTCGTCACTAATCCCACCGCCACCACCAGCACCTGGCGCGGATAGGCCCGCTGTCAACCTCTGGGGGCGCCACCGCCCCTTACTCTGCCGCTGGGCAGGTGGCCCCAGCTCTGTGCACCTCAGTTTCTCCATCCATGAAATGGGACTGTCTTCGTGGTTCCTCGTGGGGCTGGTGTGATGGCGGAGGCCGTGCTGCCGCCTGCGGAGCATGGAGGGTGGTCCTGTCACTGGAGGAGGAGGAAGTGGGCTTGTCCCTCTGCCACAGCCCCTCTCACAGGCGCGGGTTGTGGGCGTTGGGTGCTGGGGTGACCCCGCCCATCCTGACTGCCTGGCTCGTTGCAGGGACGGGCTGCCCTACTGCGAGGCCGACTACCACGCCAAGTTCGGCATCCGCTGCGACGGCTGCGAGAAGTTCATCACGGGGCACGTGCTGGAGGTAAGGCCCGCCCCATGGGCGCTGGGCTGCCCGCCTGTGAGGATTAGGGGGCGGGGCCTCCAGGTGACCCACAGTGCTGTGTGTTTGTGCAAGAATCTGTACCAGAGCCTTTGCCACCTTGTCCTCCCCGCTCTGCCTGGGGACTCCTGGGAGGGAGCCACCTCCTCCAGGAAGCACTCCAGGGCCTCTCTCCTGTACCCTTTATGAGCTGCTCGAGCTGGAGAGGTGTGAAGGACAGAGACCCTGGTCCAGCCCTTCGGCCTAGGTGGGGAGTCTGAGGCCTGGAGGGTTGAAAGCGAGCGCAGGAGGCAGGGCTGTGTCCTGGGGCAGAGCAGAGGGTCTGGTCGCCTGGCAGGCCAGGTCACAGCGCACTTGCAGGCCGGTCCCCCCGGGGCTGCCTGTCGCTTCTAGATCCAGGCGGCAGCGCACGGCGTCCCCCCTGTGAAAAGAGCACGGGCCATGCACTTCCCCACGTCCGTGCAGTAAGACAAATCCCGAGACGACTGGGACCAATGCCCGCCCGCCGGGGCCCAGGCTGCTGCCCTCACCCACCCTGCAGCCCCTCCTCGGCTCTGGGCTGGCTGGATGCCATCGGGGCTGCCGTGGTCCCTGGGGGAGGCTCGGTGACAGAGGACCCCAGGGACAGGCAAGCGGCCGAGCCAGGAGGGTGGCGGACCCAGCCCAGGTGACAGAAGCAGCCTGTTGGGGGAGGACCGGTTGGGGGCTGAGGCTGCAGAGCTCCCCACACCCCGAGGGGATCCCTGGGATCGATTTGTAGTTTAAAGAGCTCCCTCCACCTTGAGAGCAGTGTGCTGAGTGAGTCAGTCAGAAAAGTTTTGACTTCATCACGTGGATAGAAAACTGGACTCGTGAACACACACAGCAGAGGGGGGGCTGCCGGCGGGAGGGGGTGGGGGAGGAGGGGGTCCTAGTATCTGGTGACGGAGAGGATGTGACTGGGTGGTGGGCAGGCGGTGCCATATACAGATCTTGTAACAGAAACGAACCCTCCTGACACCCGGATGTGCATGTTGGTGCTCAGGTGTGTAACCCTAGCGGCTTCCTGACAACTGTGGGCTGTGCCCCTGCACCCGGGGAGGGGCCGACCTGTCCCAGCCCCGCTGCCTGCCTCGCCTTCTGGCCCCATGGAAGGCTCTGGAAATGTCCTCGGGAACACAGGGACAGGGCCTGGGAGCTGTCCCCAGCTCAGTGCTGGCCAGGGGTACCCGATTGGGGGCGGGAGGGGGGGCGGCAACCAGCAGGCCTCCCTGGTGGACCCAGAGGCAAGGGGAAGGCGACCCTTCTGCAGAGTGAGCGTCCCCGTGTTTGATTGCAGCCGAGCACAGCGTGGGGTGCGGTGTCTGTGCTGCCCCCGCCCCCCCATTGCCTCTGTGCACTGGGAGGCACAGGCTGGGCTTCGCTCCCGGCCTGCGGGAGGCTGCGGGCCTCTGGGAAGATTGATGCCCTTGTTTCCTCAGCCGGAGCTGGGCTGGCTGCGTCGTGGGCTCTGCGAGCTCGGAGCTCCCTCCTGGAGGAGAGGCGGCAGCGCGGGCGGCAGAGAGAACCTGGGCGGAGACGAGCCGAGCCGCTCAGCAGCGGCAGCGGAGAGCAGCCGCCACGGTGGCTCCACTTGAGCCCGCCGAGCGTGCCGGGCCGGGCTGCACGGGCACTGGGCTCCTGGGGCAGCAGGTGGCAGGTGCGGGACCTGAAAGAGAAGGGGAAGGATCCGGACCCCTGGCTGCAGGGTGAGGCGGGCGGCCATCCTCGCGGCCACTGTGCCTGTCCAGGCCGGTCCTGGGAACAGGCCCTGGAAGGGACCGTGGGGTCGGCTGATCGGACTGGGCTGTGGTGCCAGGACCCCGGCAGGTAGGCAGCCCGGCCAGGTGCCCCGAGGGCTGGTGGGGAGGCCAAAGGCGCCGTGCGGGGCTGCAGGTGGGGGGCTTGCAGGGAGCAGGGGCAGATCAGCCAGGTGTGAGGCCCCCCAGGCACCTGTCACCCCCTGCCTCTTGTTTGCCCCCAAGATGCTGGTCACCCAGAGCCAGAGCAGAGAGCAGCCAGGCCCTGTCCTCGCTGCCAGCAGGAGCCCTCGGCCTGCCCCGCACCTGGTCTGCGTCCCCGGCAGAGTGCCACCTTCGTGCTCGCGGCAACAGCGCCGCTAGCCGTGCAGTGCTCATCGGGCAGCGGTGGGCGCTTCCTCCCCTGCCTCAGTCTCCCAAATACGAGGCATCCTGTACCCAGTTTCCCGGGTCCTGCAAGTCGGGTGTCTATCCCGATGGGCCTGCTCCATGCTGGATGCAGGGGGAGGGGGACCTTGTGGGTCCTGCAGGGCCTGGGAGATGCCGATGGCCGGGGGCCTGGGAGATGCCGATGGCCGGGGGCCTGGGAGATGCTGATGGCCGGGGGCCTGGGAGGGGCCGAGGTCCCTGGGGGCAGAGGTGGGTGCCTGGAGCAGCCCCACGACAGCGCTGGGCTCCTGGGATGGAGTCGCCCAGGGAGAGAGCTGGGAGGTGCCTGGGGAGTTGCCGGGACAGCAGTGCAGCCAGACCCTCTGGACCAGCTGAGTGAGGGGGAGGACGTGCTGGGTGAGAGGGAGGCCCGGCTCAGACCCTGCTGTCACCTCACCGCACGCCCACTTCACTCTCGATTTTCTTCTCGGTAGAATTAGCTGCAAGGCTTCCCTGCGCAGGTTGGGTGGCGGGGCGGGGGACGGCAAGGATGGGGTGCTGCTGTCTGAGCCCCACCTGTGTCAGCAGCCTAGCTGTCCCCATGGCAACGAGAAGGCAAGTTTCCTCTGGGACCACCAATTCCTCCCTCCCTGCCTCCCTCCCTCCCTTTAATCCTTCCTCCCCACTCTCCTCCCTCTATCCTAGCACCTTCCCGCTTCCCTTCCTTCCTCTCCCTCAATCCACCACTCACAGGTCCTTCCTGGACACCCACGGGGTCCTGGCGGGCTGGGGGCTGCCTTCCTGAGAAGGCGGTGAGGGTCCCTGCCTGCCTTGCAGGGGACCCCGTGTGAGAGGGGCCAGCCCAGCCCACTCCCACCTGGTCATCCGTTTATCTGCTCACCCGCCGATGGGCACTGGGTTGAGCCGCTGTGAACATCTTTGCGAGTGCCGTGTGGACCTATGTCTTCATTTCTCTTGTTCTGGCCTCTTCATTTGTCTTACGCCCCTGGGAGGGGGACTGCTGGGTCACGTGGTAATTCTATACTTTTTCGGGGACCTTCCCAAGATGCACAGGGCTTGCTGTTTCTCCACACGCTCGCCAGCACGGGCTGTTTTCGTTTGTTCTGTTCTAGCATCGCCCGGGGGCCGTGCACTGGCGCCTCCCTGGGGTTGGGGTTACATCTCCGTGGTGACCCCGATGTTGGCACGTCCAGTGGCGTCGTGGCCACGTGGACGTCCTCTGTGGAAATGTCCGAGTCCTTGGCCGTGTTCAGCAGGACTGTGGGCACCTTGTTCTTGGGCTGGAGGGATTCTCTGCGCGTTCTGGGTCCCGAGCCCTCTCAGATCTGTGATTGCAGATGTTTCCTCCTGTCTAAGTCGTCTTCCCACTTTCCCGGTACAGTGGTTGCTGCTCCTGCCTTTGGTGTCCTGCCCGGGAATCCACTGCCCGAGGGGGTCGTGCAGAGGGACCCCGTGTTTCCTTCTGAGCGTTGATACCTTTAGCTCGCACATGGGGCCACGTGGGGGCAAACTTCACGGCGTGCGTCACCCACAGCGGCGCACGCACCGACGCGCAGCTTGAAACGTGTTCACACACTGGACACCGTGTAACCGGCCCTCAGACAAGAGTGTGCGAGCACCCCGACACCGGGGCCCCCAGCACCCCCAGGGCAGCCACCGACCCACTCTAGTTTTGTAAAGAGGGAAGCCCCTCCTTAGTGTCGGACTGTTCCAGGCCCGTCTGGGTTCTTCTCGCCACACGCGGGGTCACCTGGGGCCTGGTCCCCGCTGACAGCAGGGGGGGGGCGGGGGAGAGAAGCAAGAGGCTTGTGATGAGTTCACCCCGTCACTCGCTCGCTAGGAAAGTGGTTCTGACTCAGGGAGAGGTTGTGGGATTCCTCCCGTTTCAGGAAAGAGCGAACCACGGGGTCAGCCTCCGCTTTTTGTTTGTAATCCTCACCTGAGGACATGTTTTCCATTGGTTTCTGGAGAGAGTGGAAGGGAGGGAGGAGCAGGAGAGAGAGGGAGAAAAACGTCGATGTGAGAGAGACACATCGATTGGTTGCCTCCTGCCCCGGCCGGGGCTGGGGAACTTGCAACTGAGGTACGTGCCCTTGACCAGGAATCGAACCCGGGACCCTTTGGTCCACAGGCCGATGCTCTATCCACTGAGCCACACCGGCCAGGGCCAGCATCCACTCTCAGCACAGGCTGCAGCCCCCCCCCCCCC